CTGGCTTGGTCTAAATCTCAGTTCTGCCACTTGCTAGCAAACACCTTGGGTTGGTGGCCTCAAACCTGGGAGCCTCAGTTTTCCTGTATGGAAATTGGGGACAAAACATTAATTCATCAGGGTATTATCTGAATGGTGGGTGGGTACAGGCAGCACAGCAGAGACTTGGTAACAGTCAGAAGATCTCCAACAAGCCCTCCGACAAGCCATCTTCTAGTTCCTCTTTTAGCAGCCAGCTCATCCTGGTTCCTTTTAACCCTTCTTGCCTGGAGTGGGTATCTGCCCTTAATTATATGGGCAGCTCACATGCAGTCTATCCTGTGGCTCGGCGATGGCAGAAGGACCAGTTGGCTGTAAACTCTGGAGTGGGACTTCATAAGTTCCCCCACCTGCTGAGCCAGGTCAAAACCTGGCCTTCCCTAGGGAGAAGCCTCATTTAACATCTATGCCAACCCAACCCATCTGAAAAGTACGCCATGGTGACCCCAGATCTGCTTCCCTACAGCAAAGCCCTCCCTTACATCAGGATAAACATTCCTCCTAAACCACGCTATAATCGGTGCCACACATCCCTGTGACATATTATCATGGGTCAAGCACTAATCAGGTGGTTACCAGTGTATGACCTGAGGGCTGACAGAGCAGTGGGAAGGCACTCCTCCCGGTCATCTGGATCCTACATCCTTTGCTATATGGGGAGTCTGGGCCACGCTCACCAAAGCTTGGCTCAACACCCTGGGTTTTATAATGAGACCCTGATGGAGAAGTGCTGGGGCTCTGAGGGTGCAAATGTGAACCTGTGACCTAGAAGGCGCCTGGGCTTCCCAGGGAACACCCACAGACTTGAGCTGTTGCTCTCCCATCTGGGGCAGAGGGGGACTGACTTTGCTGTTCTTGGCCTAGGACAGTTCATCTAGCCTGCAGCAATTGCTGAGAGCAGCTAAAAGGTCCTGCTGGGGATGTTAGTAAAGGATCCTGATGGCCTGCAACCAGGAGTGGAGCCTCAGCACAGAGCTCAGGTCCCAGGGTTTTGCAAGTCAGAAGAGAAGGCAGCCTGGCCACACCCCTACAGCAGCCTCCTACACACCACTCTCAGGAGGTGTTCAGTTTTGTGATCATACACCCACCCAAATTTCCCATTGCAATTCTCTCCCCAGCCCTCCCTTGCTGTGTGATCTGGGGCATGTTACTTCACCTGTTAGAGCATCTGCCCTTCTGTCTCAAAAGAGCCCTGTCTCAGATCTTCCAGGGCTGTGTCACCTGGGCTTGCCTGGAGGGCTTAGAAAACCAGAGTCCTCACAGCACCACCACCACCTCCACTTTCCTATCCCCACTCCACCACTCCCAAGACCCCAAGCTATCCTTACACATCAATTATTCTATGTGTGCTGATGGTTTTGGTCCCAGGTGGCTACCCCCAACTCCCCCTAACCCAGCTCCTCCAACCCTACCCCACCCCCACCCCCAACCCCAACCCCAACCCTCCCACCCCGACCCTACAGGCTTTATCTGAGGTTTTTATTCCAGAGAACAAAGAGAAGTGGGCAGGAAAAGTGGCAAGGTTTTCTAAACCATCTCCAGACCTGCTGTGGGTAGAAGGAAATGAGCCTGGGGTGGGAGATAGCCCTGAAGGTGACTTAATGGGAAGGGGCTGCAACATTCCTATTGGGCCAAATTCCTCCATCCTAGCAGCACACTGGAGGAAGGCTGAAGAGGAACAGGCTGTCTGCCCTCCTCTCTCAGTGGCCCTTAGGACAAGGGGCAAAGTGGGGCTATCAGCAAGATGGGGAGAAATGGGTGGCAACGGGTGGCAAAAATGAGGCAGCAAAGAAAAACAGCCCCATCCAATGCAGAAAGGCCCCAGCATGCTTGCTTCCCCAGCCTGGCCCATGAATCGAGGGGTGACAGGTCTCTCATCTCTGATGCCAAGAGCCAGGAGCTGCGAGTAGCAGGCAGGTACTATGCCTGCACCTGCCAGCGCTTGAGAGCAGCAATAAAGCATCATAGCAGGACCTGGAACGCTGAGTGCCTGCAGCTGCGAAGGACTGCGAGCACCCTGGCCCTTCTCTGGCAAACAGGCCTGAGGATGGACAGAGGAGGGTAGGACAGGTGCACACACAGCCTAGCCCTGGCCTGAGGAGACAGACAGATGGACAGAGAAAGCCCAGTGTGCTGCATCAGTCACCACGGCCTGCAGAAAGCTGGATGACTAGTGTCACTAGCCCATAAAAGAGTGGGGCCAGTCCCAAAGAATGCCAGAGATGCTATTTACACAACATGGGAGGGGGCGGGCAGGCTGTAGCCCGTGTTGTGTAAGAATGGACCTCATTGCCACAGCCATCCTAAGAGGGCAGGATAACCAGTATATACATAGAACACAGAGAGGGTGCAGAGCCAAAAGAGGACACACCCGGGGCGGGGGGGCTTCCTATGCCTGTCAGCCACCCACGTGAAGACACAGGCCCTGACTCAGGATCTGGGTGGAATGGGGCCTGTCACCAGCAAATTCTCAGGCTGTTGCCCATCCCACAGTCCCACATGGGGCAGCAGGACTCTAAGCCACTGTGGTCTGCCCCTAGGATCTCTTCAGGTAACATGTGCAGTGACAGCCCCTGCTCCAGTTCCTAGAGCCACCTAGGAATCCATAGGCTTGCAGAAAAGGCCCCCACCCACACATCAGAACCACATGAGCAGGGTGAGAGTAATGCAGTAATCATATGAAATCTTAGAGAAGGCCAATGTCCCCTGGACTTTAGCTAGATCACATCAGAACCACATGAGTGGGGAGGGATATGCAGTAGTCATGTGAAATCTTAGAGAAGGCCAATGTCCCCTGGATTTTAGCTACATGGGTAGTTCTGAAAGTGGCCGCCAATGATTCAAGCATGTGCTGGGTGGAGTCCTGGAGTGATGCTTACAGAGAACTCATTCACTGTGTGACACAAAACTAAGCCATGTTCTGGAGAGCTGGTCAAGGACTCAGGGGCTCCCAAAGAAAAAGAAGGAAGCTACCTCTGGAGCCACTGGGTCATCTGGGGTCTGCTAGCACATCCCCTCCTGTCCCTGAGGGACCCACGGGGGGAGAATAGCTCAGCAGTGTCAGCCTCCTGTGTTGACATGCCTAAGAGCTGGCTCTGCCTCCGTAAGTGTTGCAGGTGAGAAGAGCCAGGCCTCCCAGGCCCCAACACCACTCTTGACACACCCTTTACCATGTTCATTTGGGCTCCTTTCAGCCCTCCTCCCTTACTAGGCCTTTTCATCCCTGTGATGGTGTGGCTTTCCTTGGGGCACACCATGGCCGCTGCCATCACGGAGGGAAAGTTGCTGTGGTAACTTACGGATGATGTGGATCCTCAGGGCAGAGAAATAAAACAAAGGATTCTGATGGCCTGGAGTGATGATTCTTGCCCACCTGCTCCGGACCACAGTGACCTGAATGGGTCATAGTTAGCATATGGTCTGAGTGTCCCCAAACTTTCCTTTACACACTCCCCACTGAGAGGGATTAAGAGGATAGAAACTGAAGCCAGCTCTGCTGTCTAGAGGGGATAGTGGTGAGTCACAATGGAGCACCACAGCTGAATCCTGGTAGCTTTATGAGAAGACGGAGGGAACCAGGCTCACACAAACACATGCTCATCTTCCCTCATCACAAGATGCCTTGTGCCACTTGAAGATGCCACTAATAAGAAAGCCACACCAGACACAGCCTCTCATCCTAGGGCTATCACCAAGAGCCAGTGTGATCTCCCTTTCCTCAGAGCAACGTCATTCACCTGGTCTGTGGTACTTTGCTCCCAGCCACCAGGAACAGACTGGTACACTCCGCCTCCCCTAGTCACCTGGCCTCCAGTTAGCTGGGATATCACAAGACTCTGCTTAAATGACTGTATTTGAAAGCTTTGAGTGTGTGTGTGTCTATCTCTGTGTGTGTGGGTATGTGTGTAGTGTGTGTGTCTGTCTGTGTGTATCTGTGTGGTGTGTGTATGTGTGTCTGTGTGTGTCTGTCTGTGTGTGTGTGGTGTGTGTTTGTGGTGTGTGTGTCTGTGTATGTGTGTGTGGTGTGTGTCTGTATCTGTGTGCATATGGTATGTGTGGTATGTCTGTGTGGTGTGTGTGTCTGTCTGTGTATGTGGTGTGTGTGTCTGTCTGTGTGTGTGGTGTGTCTGTCTGTGTGTGTGTCTGT